AAAATTAATACACACACTGAAGTGTGTGACAGTATTTAAAAATATATGTATATATACACTCACCGGCCACTTTATTAGGTACCCCATGCTAATAACGGGTTGGACCCCCTTTTGCCTTCAGAACTGCCTCAATTCTTTCTGGCATAGATTCAACAAGGTGCTGGAAGGATTCCTTAGGGAGTTTGGTCCATATTGACATGATGGCATCACACAGTTGCCGCAGATTTGTCGGCTGCACATCCATGATGGGAATCTCCCGTTCCACCACATCCCAAAGATGCTCTATTGGATTGAGATCTGGTGACTGTGGAGGCCATTTGAGTACAGTGAACTCATTGTCATGTTCAAGAAACCAGTCTGAGATAATTCCAGCTTAATGACATGGCGCATTATCCTGCTGAAAGTAGCCATCAGAAGTTGGGTACATTGTGGTCATAAAGGGATGGACATGGTCAGCAACAATACTCAGGTAGGCTGTGGCGTTGCAACGATGCTCAATTGGTACCAAGGGGCCCAAAGAGAGCCAAGAAAATATTCCCCACACCATGACACCACCACCACCAGCCTGAACCGTTGATACAAGGCAGGATGGATCCATGCTTTCATGTTGTAGACGCCAAATTCTGACCCTACCATCCGAATGTCGCAGCAGAAATCGAGACTCATCAGACCAGGCAACGTTTTTCCAATCTTCTATTGTCCAATTTCCATGAGCTTGTGCAAATTGTAGCCTCAGTTTCCTGTTCTTAGCTGAAAGGAGTGGCACCCGGTGTGGTCTTCTGCTGCTGTAGCCCAGCTGCCTCAAAGTTCGACGTACTGTGCGTTCAAAGATGCTCTTCTGCCCACCTTGGTTGTAACGGGTGGTTATTTGAGTCACTGTTGCCCTTCTATCAGCTCGAACCAGTCTGGCCATTCCCCTCTGATCTCTGGCATCAACAAGGCATTTCCGCCCACAGAACTGCCACTCACTGGATGTTTTTTCTTTTTCGGACCATTCTCTGTAAACCCTAGAGATGGTTGTGCGTGAAAATCCCAGTAGATCAGCAGTTTCTGAAATACTCAGACCAGCCCTTCTGGCACCAACAATCATGCCACGTTCAAAGTCACTCAAATCACCTTTCTTCCCCATACTGATGCTCGCTTTGAACTGCAGGAGATTGTCTTGACCATGTCTACATGCCTAAATGCACTGAGTTGCCGCCATGTGATTGGCTGTTAAGTGTTAACGAGCAGTTGGACAGGTGTACCTAATAAAGTGGCCGGGGAGTGTATATATATATATATACGTAGGAAAACCTTATAAACTAACCATATTTATTTAACATGAACAAGAGCTAATTTGTTAGAACTGTAAATTTACAGTCATATTACTGTTTTTATATATATATTTAAGATGAAATTGTTCAGAGAGCTGTTCCAAACGAAATTTCTTTTTGCTTTACACTTGTGTAAACAAAATGACTAATAAATTAGCCTACGTCTAACCTGATGACATGTGTGCAATATCCCTTTAATTGAGCAGTATATCAGATGTAAAGTGAACGTGGTTCATGTGAAGCAGTTGCTGAGGCTGTCAGTGTCTCCCAGGAAGTGATGGGTCTTACTAACCGTTGGGGGGTAAACTCTTGATGACTTTAACCGCTGCCTCGAACCTTTTCTGGGTCAGACGTGTCTGTTCCTGTGCGCTGACACTCTCCACCTCCATAATGCCAATCTGGAGACAGCTAGCAGGAATATCCGCCTAACCAGAAGTAGAAGAAACATAAAACAGACGCTGGTCTTTGGGTTCGCAGTTTGTGTTTTGACCGACAGTAAGAGGATTGAACCAGCTGAGAATGTAGGACACAATAAGTGCCCTGCCGCACAGGGTTAGCTGCGGCCAGCATTTACGCCAAGTTACACAAATGTGTGAAAATATTCAAAGTAAAAACACTAAAAAAGACATTACTCACCTTTAAACTATTTGTTTATCTATCGGTCAGAGCGTAACTTGCCCTTAGCTCTGAGACTGACGCCATAAACAGCAGATGAAGCTAAACAATAATGCATCATGGGAGATGAAGTTTTCTCCTAACGGTAAGTCCTACAGACTCCACCACCTTTGGGGTTTGACCCCCAAAAAAGTAACTGAAAGGGCAGTTTGAAGGGGTGTTATGAGACGATTTCATAGCTCTTAAATTTATTATTTCTGTGAATTAAAAACATGGTTAAATATACATGGTCGCTAGAGTTTACTAAGCATGGAACTACAATTCCCAGCATGCGTTATCACTTATCCCACTTTTTCAGAAAAAACCGTAGGCGAATTTATGAGCAGTGAGAGTTCTTACTCTGTCTATTTTAGACTTGCCGAATTCGTTGTGACATGCAGAAATATTGACACAGATATAAAACAATTAACAAATTGCACACGTGCATGCCTAAGCAATGCACACTTTGATATTTAATTATTTTAAACATATCGCTGTTTAGAATGTTTAGAATTTCTCTATGATAATCAAAAAACAACAACAACAATAACAATAACTTAATGTTATTATTATTATTGGATTGATGAATGAATGGTTGGGATTATAGCATTAGGACAGTATTGATTTTAGTCTGTATTTAATGTTAGTCTAATTATTTTTTATTCATATCAGTTTGCATATGAATATAAATATTAATCTGGGTATTCTATTGAAATTGTAAATATAATTTCTCTGTTATATTAAACTATTATTCAATTCATAAAGTTCCATATTTAAATTTCACATATTTCACATTAAAATGACATTTAACCTAATATTTCATCAAATAAAAAAATTACACTGATGGTATTCCACTGTAAAAGTTAAGAACCTGTACAAGAACATTTAATTTAAAATATATATATATTATTTAGAGATTAAAAGATGGAACAAGTAGTTGTTAACTGTTAAAAGGAGTCCATAAATATATCTATAATTGGAAAAAAGCATAATATTATCTAAATAAATGATAAAAACACGTTTAAAAAAAAAAAAGCAGTACTCGAAACCTTGACTCTAGGTGGCACTCTTTCTTTGTGTTTGGTTTTCTTTTAACCACACTGTAAACAGGACTGAATAAACAAATAGATACATAAATAAACTAGCAATACTCCAAACATTTTTAACGAAAATCAAAATAATTCTCTAAGTTTTTATTTCACTGCAAACACATTAAAACTTCAGAAACGTCACAGAAAAAAGCCATTCATTAAAACAATATACAGGTGCTGGTCATAAAATTAGAATATCATGAAAAAGTAGATTGATTTCAGTAATTCCATTTAAAAAGTGAAACTTGTATATTATATTCATACATTACATACAAACTCATATATTTCAGATGTTTATTTTGTTTAATTTTGATGATTACAAATGACAACAAATGAAAATCTCAAATTCATCATATCAGAAAATTAGAATATTACTGAAGACCAATAAAAACAAAGGATTTATAGAAATGTTGGCCAACTGAAAAGTATGAACATGAAAAGTATGAGCATGTACAGCACTCAGTATTTAGTTGGGCCTCCTTTGGCCTGTATTACTGCAGCAATGCGGCGTGGCATGGAGTCGATCAGTCTGTGGCACTGCTCAGGTGTTATGATAGCCCAGGTTGCTCTAATAGTGGCTTTTAGCTCTTCTGAATTGTTGGGTCTGGTGTATTGCATCTTCTTCTTCACAATACCCCATAGATTTTCTATGGGGTTAAGGTCAGGAGAGTTTGCTGGCCAATTAAGAACAGGGATACCATGGTCCTTCAACCAGGTACTGGTAGCTTTGGCACTGTGTGCAGGTGCCAAGTCCTGTTGGAAAATGAAATCTGCATCTCCAAAAAGTTGGTCAGCTGCAGGAAGCATGAAGTGCTCTAAAACTTCCTGGTATGTGGCTGCGTTGACCCTGGACCTCAGAAAACACAATGGACCAACACCAGCAGATGACATGGCACCCCAAACCATCACTGACTGTGGAAACTTTACACTGGACTTCAAGCAACGTGGATGAAGTGCCTCTCTTCTTTTCCTCCAGACTCTGGGACCTTGATTTCCAAAGGAAATGCAAAATTTACTTTCATCAGAGAACATGACTTTGGTCCTGTTTCTCTTTAGCCCAGGCAAGACGCTTCTGACGCTGTCTGTGGTTCAAGAGTGGCTTGACACAAGGAATGCGACAGCAGAAACCCATGTCTTTCATACGTCTGTGTGTGGTGGTTCTTGAAGCACTCACTCCAGCTGCAGTCCACTCTTTGTGAATCTCCCCCACATTTTTGAATGGGTTTTGTTTCACAATCCTCTCCAGGGTGCGGTTATCTCTCTTGCTTGTACACTTTTTTCGACCACATCTTTTCCTTCCCTTCGCCTCTCTATTAATGTGCTTGGACACTGAGCTCTGTGAACAGCCAGCCTCTTTAGCGATGACCTTTTGTGTCTTGCCCTCCTTGTGCAAGGTGTCGATGGTCGTCTTTTGGACAACTGTCAAGTCAGCAGTCTTCCCCATGATTGTGTAGCCTATAGAACTAGACTGAAAGACCATTTAAAGGCTTTTGCAGGTGGTTTGAGTTAATTAGCTGATTAGAGTGTGGCACCAGGGGCCATCAATTTTGAACCTTTTCACAATATTCTAATTTTCTGATATGATGAATTTGAGATTTTCATTTGTTGTCATTTGTAATCATCAAAATTAAACAAAATAAACATCTGAAATATATGAGTTTGTATGTAATGTATGAATATAATATACAAGTTTCACTTTTTAAATGGAATTACTGAAATCAATCTACTTTTTCATGATATTCTAATTTTATGACCAGCACCTGTATTTTCTCTACTTTTCTTGGCCAGAATATATTTTAATTTTTTTTTGACTACTTATGTTTAAAGCTAGTTTCTGATGCGAGAAGTGAACCACTAATAAGTTCACGGACAGCGTGTGCAAAACCTAAGCGAGTTTTTAACGGGTTAGTGAAACATCTTCGTTTTATCAGACGATCTTCGGTTTGAGTTCAAGCGAAATCGGGGCCAGGAATCCCACAATAGCAGGCGGAGGAAGATAGTTTCTTTTTCTTTTTTTTCCTGTCAGTGCTGTGGGCTGGTAGCTGCTTCAATCATAGGGAAGGCAGAGAGAGGGAAGGGAGGCTCTGCAGGGAGAGATGTAAGATGGCAGAGCTACAAATGTTGTTGGAGGAAGAGATTCCAGCCGGGAAGAGAGCGCTTGTGGAGAGTTACCAAAACCTGACGAGAGTAGCCGACTACTGCGAGAACAATTATGTCCAGGTAAGAAAGTTTATTTAAAAAACGGACCTATTGGATTTGGAAAACACTTTTAGAGCACTCCCCCGCGGTGTGTGAGGTTGTTGGGACAGGAAATATGGATCTACTAACTACTCTCTGGAGCGAATTATATCTTGAAAAGCTTTGAGTTCAGTTAAGAAATCTAAAGGTGGTGCATTTAGGACCGTGGGACATTCGAGCTCTTTGTGATTCTTGAGAATAAATGTTCTCAGTTTAGGCACGGGGTGTGTCTACTTTTTTTTCTTCTTGTCATTGAACCGGTTGAGTAAAAAAACTGCCACCACTCTCACCATGGACGAGGCCCGTTTGTTTTAACAAATCTTACAGGCACGGTTTTCTAAACGCCTCTTCCCGACATGTTAAAGTGTTTGACATATTTTATCTCTAGTGGATGTAGTGGTGAATATTTCACTAGTCAGCAAAATTACGAGCTTGCATGTCAGCTCTTTTTAGGGTCATTAAACACACCATTTAATACCGCAAAAACAGTTAAAGTGTCCACAGGGAACCCATTACAGCAGTGGCATGATAATAATGTCTGCACTACTCGTGGCTTTTTTTTTGTTGCTGCATTATTTTAATGTGAATTTTAAAGATGTTTGTTTGACTTTACTGCAAAATCAACCACAAAATCCTCACATGGAAAAGACCACTTTCTAATTTTTTTATTTTTGTTGGAATTATTTTATTTATTTATTTATTTTTAGTATACCTTTTCTAAGAAAACAAGACTTCTAGAATTATGTGGTGACATGACATAAGACAAGATGGGAACTTATTTCAATACAGCCATTGGTGAAATTCCTTATTTTTGGTTTTTTATTTTTTTTAGTATATTTTTAATTAAATCTCGCCTTATGGCGTATGTTGTTGTCCCTTCTATTAGAGGCTATAAAAGGTTTGACAATTGATTCCTGAGTAAAAAATGTCTGCCCTTCCCACACCTGTTGCTGTTCACTGAGACTTTGCTCTTTTTACCAAGCTGGTGCTTCCACTTTCTTACCCAATACTGCTTGCCGTAAATCAGTTGAATCAAAGATGGTTATTGCTTTTTTCTTATTGATTCAAGGAACAAAAAGACAAACAAAAAAAACAAAATAAATTAGCCTCTTCATTACAAATAATATAGACATAGGAATAACCCCATCATCAGCCAGAGATCTAAATTAACCAATTGGAGCAATCTCAGCTCTAATTGGTAAAGAGCAATTTGGTTAAATGTAAATAAATAAGTAAAAAATTACCCTCTCTATCCTCTGTTCTTTTAAAATATCTAAGAGCTGCAAACATTTTTGGTCTGCAATGCCTTAACTAGGGCTGAAACAATGAATCGGATTAATCGATTGAAATAATCGTCAACTAACTTAGTAATTGATTAATCCTTAACTTGAGTTTAGAGACTCTAAAACAGGCCTTTAGCTGACAGAGCGACCCACTTGGAGCCGTCATTGTTAAAAATTGTCAAGAAAATATTTAAACATATTGCATTTGAGGTATGAAAACCTTTTGGTCTGTCAATATTCTCTATCCAGAACTTCTCAGACGTAAAAGCTTTAGTTTGAAGTGGTTTGATTTTGTAAAAAGTCTTCTTTAAGGAACATGCGATTAATTGAAGAAATAATTAAAGGATTTGCAAAGTAATTGTTAGTTGGTTAATGTTGAAGGATTTTTTTCCTCTATAAAAATCAGAGAAAGTTAATATTTTTATGCATAACAAGGGATAATCTTGTAATAATTCCTCAAAATAGTCAAATTTCAAACCAAAATTTTTAAAAATTCTCCTTTTTTACATCGTCACCATGGCCATGTGTTTTATTATAAAAACATTAAACCTGGCACAGTTTTTTCGTCAATGACTGCTGATTTCTGTGATCTAAAATGGTTTCTATATATTTTACACTTTTTGATGTATTAATCAAAGTTCAACACAAAGTTTTACACATCCTTTACAGTTTGAATGTTTTTTTCTCTTTCTTTAAAAAAGGACTGCGTCTTTAAAAAAATATTCACAGTTCAACATCTGTCAACTTCCAGGTTAAGAAAAGCTTTTAGACTTTTTTTCAGGTTCATTTCAGGAAATGTTCTGCTTTTAGGTCGAGTGTGTTTCTGCCATAATTCTGCCAAATGATTCTACCCTAAAAAATCTTCAGATGATTCAATTGTTTTCTGTGGTTTGAAGTTTCAGATTACTTCATATCACATTTTCACTCAGCAGAAAAAAGCATTCTTACTACCATTATTGTTATTATTGTTTGTTTTACTTCTGGCTTAACTGGTCAGACCTCCAATTTAACCAAATGTTAGTAAAACCACGGCAGACTGGAAAGGACAGACTTTATTATCAAGGATGTTTGGTGATATTTTAAGCATAGTTATTATGAAACCCTCAGCATTTGGTCAATAGATCAAATCCAGACAAAGTTAGCAGCAGAACTGCTGCATTACTTCCCCTTATAATCAGCCTACCAGTAAGCCCCAGTGGGCATGACCCCACTCTGCAGCCTGCACAGTTCTAACCATTCCTGACAATCCTGGAGGGAAGAACTGAGTGTGGGGGGAAAAAAAACAGACTGGTTGTTTGGGTGAACTAGTTTACTTTTAGACTAGAGATCAACAGATATTTTTGGCTGATATTAGTGATTTTTCTTTTGTTATTTTGTTTATTACATCAGCTAATGTGTGCTCGGTTTTCTTATTCATCAGTGCATTCATTACCAGGTCATCGTGTAAATTAAAACTTCTGTAACATTTAATATCATTGCGTTAGGAAAATCCAGCTTTAAGAATAGGTCCCAAAAAAAATCAGCATAAAAAAAACAACCTTGGATTGTTTGATCTCTAATTTAGACTGCCCTCAGTGCCAGTTAGGGGAAAATCATACAACTATATATAAGCCTATGAAATCGGAATATATCATTTACTTGTTTTAGGAGTGGAGAAAATGTGCAGAAGCCAATCAGATGGAAAAATTGAAAGAAAAAAAAGAAAAAGCCTGGTCTATGTTTAGTTTTGTGACCGTCAGCCTAATTTTTGCCATCTTTTTTTTTTTCCATAAAGCTTCCTTAAAACATGTAAGACTGAAGCTCCCTTAAAATGTGACTCTCAGCATTTCAGAATCTAATCAAATAGATAGAAAATATTAGATATTTTCTTAACGGCCTTGATTCTTGTACATGCTGTGATATTTGGTGCCAAATACAAGCAGAGAAGTTTAAGTTGGCTTTTAAAGACCGGTTTCATTCAGTCCTGCGGTGGAGGCATTTTGTTGGAAAAAGATAAAACTCTGGATCTAGTTTTAATGCATTTTGAAGATATGGATTTGTTCTGTCAGCTCTCAATTTTTATTTTATTTATTAATGTAAACCCACATATAGATATTTTTACTTTATATTAATTATAGAAATCTTGTTAAACCAAAACATTTCATTTACTTCAGTAGATTTTTTATCTAGGTTTCAAAAAAATCTCTGTTATATACTTTGTTCATGAAATCTTGGACTTAAACTCAAGCTATTGCTAGTTGAAGGGCATTAATTGGGGATCTGAATTGACTCTCAGGGTTTTGGGATGGCAATATGAAACAGGAAGGAGTGTAAAACATCTCTGTTTGGTTTATAAAAGGTTTTTATCTTCCCTCATTTATCCAGGCGAAAAAATTTTTTCTCCCCCTGTGAAAAAGTTTGAGTTAATGAGTCTGTACTTTTAATTTTATTGCAAATCTGAGGCCTAATTTAGTGGTTTTAATGTTGATCTATCAGTCGGCTGACTTTTGGTACTGCGTTAAACTTTTCATTCCAAACAGGAACCCAACATATCGGCTACAGAGGGAGTGTCCATTCCAGCGGTAGTCCCCAAGGACTCCCTGTAATTTAGTTTCCTTCCTCGTCCTCGGATCGTCTTTTGTTTTGTTTTTCTCTATTTGCAATTTTTGCCCCATCCATGCCTCGCAGGACAAACCTGAAACAGTTTTCTCCACATTTTCCAACAGAAAATTTCTTGTTCAAGCTGACTGTAACGTGAAACTCAGACGCCTCTCTCTGAATTTCCCACAATTATTACACAACTGTGGGAAAACAGGCGTGTGTTTTGACTCCCTGTTGGGATTGTTTGTCACTGGCTTGCTTCACGTTTAACAGGGAGTGTTATCTTGTGCTATATGCTGCCTAAATAATCTGTTGATTTACTGTGAGTTTAAAATCAAATTTTTCTTTTTTTACTATATCTGCAAAACCCTGAACTCTTGTTTTGTCAAGTTATTTATGAGGATCTGAATTTTTTTTTTAATTAAGGGAATTAAAGGGAATTATTTTCTCCTTTCTTTTCTCTTATTACAGTAAGAATTGTTTTAAATGAAAGTATATAAAAATATCTTAAACAGAGGTATATTCATTAGCAGTGTTAAAAATGAAATAATTTTTTTAAAGAGACAGGAACTTTTTTACTAAAATGTGTTTAAAATGGCTTTTTTATTTGACCATTTAGGATCAGAACATTGTTTAATGAGCAGACACACCTTAGTAGTTCATCTTTGATCCACCTATAAGGCTGAAGCCTATTTGTCCCACCTAGCAAAATATTGAAGCAGCATATTAAAGATGGGCTTTGTGGATACTCAGAAGAGACCGGCATACAGCTCGACTCAGACACTGATGGCAACTAAGATGAAAAAAAAAAAAAGTAAAAAAAACAAACTAACGTGAACGAGCAGAAGAGTACTGTAGTTCTGTGTTTTGACCACAGGTGGCAGTGTCAATAGAAAACTCAGTAATGTCTCTTTAAAGGCACACTATGTAACTTTTGGCCACTAGGGGCACTAGACCTGTAACTTTCTCTTCTAGTGGCCTCAAGCTTGGCATCACTGTCGCAAAAGTAAAAAAAACAGCCAGCCAGCCTCCTGTGTCTTTTGATGGCGGATGGCGCTAGGCGTCTAGCTACAGCTCGGAGGGCGTGAGAAACGCTGCTCTTTGGAGAGCGCCGCCAGG